GGGCGGCCACAGCCAGGCGGCCAGGCCAGGCTACCAATAGTAATGGCCCGTCTCAAAGTAGGGGTCTGGGCTGCCATAATCTCCGCTCTCGCTATTGCTGCTGGGGCCGCTGCTGTTCCGTGCTATCTCGTCGAGCATCTTCTGTTTCCGATGTGCATATCGTGTTCTGAACCGACACTGCCAACCTTCGCTCCACTTTGGCATTGGCATGCCCCGGTGACACTCGAGAGTGTTCCACAGCTCGGTGCCGCGGTCTTTGAGCATGGCGCCGGTAACCGGTCCGTTGCCAGCAACGCACTCGTGCCAAAAGGCCCATTTGATGAGCTCCTCTTCCAGGGTCTCCCACTTGGGCGGGCGCTGCCGCTTGCGGGAGTCGATTTGACAGTAAGCCGGATCTGCGGAGATATTATCCAGCGGATCGTATTTGTAGCTCAAAATTTCGCTTACGGTACTTGAATTGAGGTAGTAACCGTAATTCTCTTCCCACCAAAAGGATGCGTCGGCGTGCGTCTTAGCGCCATCCTTGGTAGTAGGATCGAAGAACCATTTCCGCAGAGCACGGCGCTGTGTGTTGGTGATGGCCTTTCGACTCTTCATCTTGGCAAGGCAGGGTAAAACGTAGTAGGTTGGTAAATCATACACGAGCAGCTTTTTTTTCTTCTAAGAATTCCTTTTCTGTCTCGGTCCGGTGTCTTCTTCTTCTTCTTCTCTGAAGCCAAGTGGTGCGTGACCTGAGAAAACAACAACAAGATATCAAAAAAAAGAACGACAAATGCTCCACCGTCTCGCCAATAATTCACGGGACGCTGGAGGCGAGCAACATCTTATATCGCTTACCAGTCGCGAGATGCAATGTCACACACACGACCATTGGATCCTTCTATATTTTGCAGTATTGGCCTGGTCAATGTCTGGAAATTGCATGTCCATTGACCATCCCACATGTCCCACGGTTCGAATACAGGTCGCTGCGTTAGTCTCGCCTCTCTCTTTTCTCATCAGTTGATGACCTAGCTCTTGGCATTCTGGCCCCAGAGAAAGTCGAATACCTGCCCCTGGCGCAGCGTTGATCGTTGCCATAGACGTCATAGAACGATTTTCCTTAGTCCCGGCAACCCGTCCCGGACGAATCCAGTTGTCCAATCCGAGACTTTGGACCTGCCGTGCGTGGAGTGGGTGTAGTATCGACGACGGCCGCTCACTATGAGATTTCACTTTTCCATCATCCCAAAATCGTGAACCCATGTGGATCATGTAAGTGGCGCCTCTTCTGCTTGGGCATCTTGATCTTTCGCCGGCCTGTCCCTGTATAGTAAGTACTACTCATCCCAAAGTTGTCGTTATCACGGTGGCCTGGAACATACAAAGCAATTCACCTGCCTCATCGTGATCCTCCCCGTTCACTTTACTCAACCCGGTAGCACGGGGCTCCATCTCCTTGCATAATCCCAAGCCCGCACTGGGTCGGTGACTATCACCACTGACTGGTCGTTCTGTTCTGCATGCGGTTGTGCCCCGGAGCAAAGGACTGTACTGTAGATGAAAAAATGGCTGCCAAGGAGGGCGCGACTCCGGGTCTTCCGCATGCATGCCGCAGATCTCGAAACCTGACCATATTCGGACAGATCCACGGCGGTCGATCCACTTACGGATAGAATCTGCACTTTGGAGCGGCTGAAACTTCCAGGCTGCAGCCAGGGCGATACCCAATTCGTGCCAAGCTGCAAATAACCCAACTGCCAGCTGAAATCAGAAGAAAAGGAATAAGGTGAAATATTCCCATTCCAGCGAGCGCGCCTTCAAGTCTCCGCTCACGCCTTAGCGAGAACGCACGATCCGCTGCCAGCGTGTCGTGGCATCAGAATGCAATAGACTAACGTCAGCATGGCCCCTTTGTAGTGCCATGACACCTGGTGGTATTTCGTGTCCATCCTTGCTGCAGATGACAGCTCGCCAGAAAATCCGTTATTATGCGCCCCGAGCGCCATCTTTTTTTTTTTTTTTTTTTTCCTTGTCCCTCCTCTCGGCCGCGGAAACGGGCCCTTAGCGGAGTGGCGCCTGGTGAGATGATCACTTTGTCTCGCCCGTTTTGTGGGGGGTGTAGAGAGACCCATCCGATGTGATCAAGATATCAATCCCCACGTCGTATCGTTTGTGATGTCTCGGACAATCTGACTGAGAGTCGCTTTCCGATCGTTTGAGCCCTGTCTGTGTCCCTTGGTCATGTTCCGCTGCAGATGACAACCTGCAAGAAAAAACAAATTCAGTTCCCAGCGATGGCTGCAAATAAACTGCGTGATACCCTCAAGAATGATCGAAAATACTTTGCATGGCCGTGCAGAACTCAAGAGTGTAGCAGCAGTACGTCATGGCTTGCATTCACAGAGCGGCAGAAGTCGTAAGCTGCATCAATGTGACCACCCTCAAGCCCACAAGCGTACTGTGGCTGCCCGTTCCAATGAAAAATATCATTGACGATGCTCTCATCTTGTCGCGTCTCGTCGTCGAAGATGTTTGTAGATGGCCGCCAGCATAGACATGGATTGCTTGCAGGCATGTCAACATGCTGTGTTACTGTAAGTACTGTTTGGTTCGAACGATGGAATGATTGGACATTGGCGCCTTTGAGATTCCGATGTATCCAATCGAGCGAGTCGTCTGCCAAGACCCAAGCGGTCCGGGGTCGGGGGTTGTATCGTTGTATAGACTGCATTTAGCCTTCTCAATGTGCAGCACTAATGTATTCTGGATCAGAGAAGTCATTTTAGAGAGGCGGAGTATAAGTCTGTACTGAAGGGTGCGGGTCTGTCCTACCCACTGGGGGTGGACGTAATAGCACTACGCCTACCCTCTGGCGTCAAGTTGAAACTTTGTGCTGTCTGGGCAAAAGCAGGCCCAGCAAGGAAAAAAGAAACGACGGGCTGTAATGATTGCAGAACACGAAATGAAGAGCCACTGCCCTGCCCCCCATGGGATGGTGGGGAGGAAATGCAATCCTTGACCGGTGTACTCATGACAAAGGTGATCGTCGATTCCGAAGTCTTCCGGCAGGCATCAAGGGAGTCCATGGTAGGCTGCTTGAAAAGTATGAAGGAATGTAGGCTCCCCGGACGGGTGACACAGAGGGATGCTGCTCGTTCGGAGTTAACCGGGCACTCTGTCAACTGAAGAGACCAAGAGGCCCACCTGATGAAGTAGTGGAGAAGAAAAAGAAAAGAGAGTAAAGGAAATTGATGAAGAATCATGCCAAGTTGGACGGCTTTTTTGCCTTCCGAGATAGTCCTGATGCTGATTCGAGTCAGATACCTGGTCAAGGTGATCATCTGCGAACTTATCATCTGTTGTGGACGCCTGGACTCTGTAGAACTTGGTAATTGCCTCGGCAGTCCTTCGCTCGGAGCATCAAGTCGGTCGGAGGGAAGTGAGTGAAAGTTCTAAGGCCGAGTAGAGTCCCATGGGTCTGGTAGATTGGACGATCTGATCGCTGCAGAATAGATTGAATTGAAAGACTCACCGGCTGGGTTGATAATCCAACCGGTCACAGGGGTTCAGGACATCTCAGATTCTCACAGATGACTCTTCATGATCCGCCGGAAACCAAGTGAGAGATGCCGCGGTGAAGAAGCCGGGAGCTGACTCGACTGTTTCCATGAATTGTATCCACTGCTTGTTGCGAAAACAAATGCTGCCGGCTCATGAACCGCCAATGGAGCTTCAGGTCCTGGACACCGAGGCAGAGTTCAAGGAGGCCTCAGTGCAGGGACCATGGTCTCTGAGATATTCAAACACTGTCGAAAATAGAGACTGTCGCTCGGATATCGTAAGACGGTCAAACTCATGTTGAATGTTGGACCGCTAGCCATATGCAGAACCCCTTTTCCGCCGACCAGAGTTCTTGACTGACGAAATGCAGGAGCCATGAGGCAAAGGATGACCTGACATTGCCCTGAATATCTGTCAATCACCTACTTGATTCTGCGCCGGTATATCAATTGGCTATTTGCAGATTCGAGGAATTACCTGGGGAGAGTGGCATAGATGGCTGGCATCGCCTGCTTGGTGACTGTTGAGTAGCCACGCCAGATTGTGTTGGCAACGGTCCTGCTGATACGGCATGTGCTTGTTGTTGCGATGGTTCTGGTGAGATCTCCAGGACGTTACTCTCGCCGAGCCAGATCAAAGCCAGTCTTGAGGCAGTCCTCCAGCACTTGTACTCGGTGCCTGCCAGCAGAAAGTTGCGTCCCGGACAATGATAGTCATGGTGTCTTGCCAATCTCGGATGATGCCTTGAGTGCTTGTTACTGCTGCGAGTTTCCTGGTGCAGCACGGGAGGATCTCGTTTCTTGTTGATTGACAGCGAGAAAGACAGGAACGTCATTGTGCGACTCTGCTGCTGCATGCATGTGTCCTTTGAAGGGATCGTCGCTTCTCTGTGAGACATGTGGTTGCTTAGCTCGACACTAGATTCAATAGCGGCACGGCTCGCGACGCCAGATTTTCCCACCCAGATGCAGGAACGAACGCCATCACCTGTACGTCTGTCAGCTCATCAGTATTGTGACATGAGGGACTACACTGATACCAGCAAGGCTCGACTCCTCGTCATGGGCCGTAATCTTTCGCCATTTTGTCTTTGACTGTTATGGAAATTGATTGTCCCAACTCCTCAGCCGAGGCCCTTCAGTCGCAACGCATGACCACTTCCAACGCAGGTTGAAGATAACCCTTCTTGGACTCGCAATGGTGGAAAAGAGCATTTCGAGATGTACTGAACATACATGCCGTCCAGGAGTATCTTTGGGTATGGCGTCCCCTGCTGTCTCTCGTCGGATGCCGGCAGCGACACGAACTAATTGATGGACAGACTGCACCTCTCGCGACGCCGTTGTGACAGGTAGCCTTTGCAAATAGTCCCATTTGTGTTAAACCAAGAGCATTATGCTTACACAAGCTGTTGAATATCGAATACGGTCATAGGTTAAGCCGAATTCATTTGCTGCTTCAAGTCTTCTTTGTTGATGGTGATGATGGGGGTCAAGGACGACGAGGTGACTCGGCCGCACCACGTATTGTGAACAACGCGCTGATTCCGACGTCGATATCTGTGTGTCTCCATTGTCGGCTTCACTGATTCTAGTTTACGTCTTGGGTATCTGTGCTACCTGGATCGAGTCGACAACGAGATGGTGTTGAACCTGGTATGCAATTCCAGCGACGACCATCTTCGAAACTTGTCTGCTTTCGGGGCTGACGAGACTCGGCCATCCTGAGTCGATGGATGAGCTAATGTTGTGTCGAAAGGTCATGGATATGAATGCCCATCACCAGGTTATTAGTTGCTACGGTCGGTATGTTGAAGGTGATGTAAAGACCATGGCCCCTATCACTGCGTCGGGCCCCCAATGATTGCGCGAGAAAACAGAAGCACTAACACGGGATGTAGACGGGTCAAGGGGGGGATGATACCCTTTATTGAGGAGCTCGTGGCCTACACAATATAGAATGGCAGGCTCCAAGAACCCCTCACGGGTCTTCCGGCCGCCTTCTGACGGACCTTTGATAGGGGAGCGGGTGTATAGGATGACAGGCAGTAGCCCCGTATGAGACTGCATGCGAAGCAGCTCTGCGTCGAGACAACCATGTAAGACCAACCGCCCCTGTGGGCGAGATTGAACAGTCCATACAAGGACGTGGCGAAAAGGTCGGAGGTCTCAACGGGTCATGGTCCACGGAAATGTCATTTGACATATGTACACGACATGAATGACAGATCCTACGAATGCTGATCTGGCTTTGCCTCGTATAGCCTGATGGCCCTTGGGCCCAGGACCAGGCGGCTGCAATCTGCGAGCTCGTGCAGACAACATCGTGAATTCCGACTAAGGAAAAAACGAACTATGGCATCCGAGAATCCCCTCCGGCAATTGTGCAGATCGGCAGAGAACCTCTAGTATGACTGGCCTGAAACGGAAGTCGTATGGGGTGTATAGAGCGTATGCACGTGGCATCCTTTCCACCACAACCAAACGTCATACATTGTTAAAGGCCAATGAGACCAAAGCAGACGCCCCGAAATGTCAATACAACATCTTGAGTTGACATGACTCAATGCTTAGAGAGATGAAAAGGAGTGCGTGCTGCTGAAGCCGCAGAGACCACATTCCCAATTTGAGACAAATGAAGAAATATGATAAAAATCGACACTAGCGCAACGATTCGTGCCCAGTGTCTCGGTGTCAACTTACAGACATATGGAAAAAGCAATGAGGGCTGTTGCTGATATCAATTGTGATGTAATCTGGACCATCAATTTTGCTTTCTTGGTCTCAAGAGGCACGTCAAAATTTGCTCTCGAGACTCCGACTTCGCTTGTACTTACAGTCTTATTTTATTAGAGTTTGTTTCCGCTATACAGAGTTCCGTGACAAAGGCTCGGGTTCGATGTGGTTAATATAATGCATATTCAATATCCCAGTGGTGGATCAATCTCACTCACTGACTGCTGCATGTTCGCAGGATCAAGTGGTACGCGTCCCATATTAAAAAGTCATTCTTACCTGCACTCCTGCCGTTGATCTGCTCTCTGACAAGCAAACATTTCAACATCAGATCCACCAAGTCATGAAATGCAGTATCCTTACAATAGCGACTTACGTCAGGATAAAGGGAACGGTAAGTTGAATGAACTTCGATCGGTTCCAGGTCCCAGTTAGTTCATTTCGGGCCGTGATCTTCTACTTTTGTGGAATGGCAATAGTACCGCATTCTCTCATATATCGATTAAAAGCCCTGGACAGTGGCCCGGGGGAGTTCGCGCCTTGTCCTGCAATATGCTCTTCCATGACGACCCGCCATTCGATGAAGACTTCATGACAACTCCACACGGCTCATGTCATCTTTGATGCGCCAAGGGAGTCGGCGATCTCAACCGGAACACCTCTCAACCGGGGCGCAGTGGGCTTACAAAGCGGCGAAAATGCAATTACGTGACTGGGCTCGAACCAATTTTCATGACGAGAACTTCCAAGGTATTCTCCCTGTTCCACCCTGCTTGCTGCTCTTGACCGTTAAGCTTCAAACCAAGTTTAATGACAACTACCGAGATGTTGAGCCTGGACCGGGACGCCTTGCAGATGTCATGACTATTGTCCCGAGACCGATGAAATGAAGACGGCCTATAGTCGTCTAGCTCTGGTGGCATGAAGCCTGCAGTCTGCAAGCAATGTGTTATATTAATCTCTTGGTTCACCGTCTGCGGTGAAGCGCAAGGATCCTACGGAACTCAGAGTCCCCGGTATGTTTGTTTCATGGACAAGTCTTGAACAAGTACCACTCTTTATAAACTATGTCACTAGGGATTCAAAAATTGCAGCAGGAAAATGGTAGCAAGTTTGCTGAAGAATGGAACTTGTGGGTCAGTCAACTGTATAAGACTGGATACTTTCAAGATACAGTTAACCTTTTGAGACTTGAATGCTCAATCAGTCGACTTTCCCCAACAAAGATGGCTCAAAACGTCAATACTTTCGTGGAAACCACATGTTTTCATGCACGTGGTTGGACTTTGATATGTGGGACATATCCATTTTCGAGTCCTACGCCAACGTCGCACGACACGAAAATGCACCAGAGCCTATTCCCGAGTTCAATATATCGGAGTTCAACAATTACTGAGGGCCAAGGACGCGTCACAGGCAAAGAAAAAACTTTACTACGTTGTATTCGACACAAATGCCTTTGATGCTTTTTGCTGTCCCCCAAGAAAGGTGAAACATTCTCCCTCGAGACTTCGGCGTTACATTCGGAGTTCGATTTTTTCTCTTCTTGCATCGCGACGAAACAAGATGCAGCGCAGATCTTTTCCCCTTAGCTGCATCTCAGCAGGGCACACTCCCGCGACGAATAGGACTTTGTTCAAACCCCCAATTGCCCCTCCCCCTGCCTGGTTCGCCCGCCTGCCCCGGGGGAGCGGGGTCGGTGCATGCAGCAGCAGGCGCCGGGAATGGTGAAGATCAACATCAGGCTCAGCTGCTTTTGGCTCAGAAGAGAGAAGATCAACCCTGTGCCACAGCCGTTTGCGGTGAGGGACTTATCCGCGAAATTTCCCAAGTCTTTTTTGTCATTTCGTTATAGCTGATACGGCCGTGGCTCATTTCCCCGGAGGAAATCCACCGGCACCAATTGAGTGATCTGAGAATCATACTCGACTTTGGATCGTTGTGAGAAGCCAGTATCAAGTTTGTGCGCCGAGTATTAGGGTAACGTAATTGTTAACCTCAATTCAGGCACTCCACGGAACTGATATTGATCCAGGTTTTGGGACAAGTTTCACTCTACTTTGCCCAATCACAGCGCTGTTGCAGCGATCGATCGAAGTGGCACTATAGATGCCAAGATCGCATAGTAGCATCAGCAGAAAAAATAGTTCCAAACGCTTCTTTCAAGTAACGGAGGCCATGTCCGATTAGTCACGGCACTTTATTGGTTTCGGCGGCGGATGTCGGTGCCGGCATCTCGGTTAAAGTGGAGTCCCGGACTTTGCATCGAGGTAGTAGTCAAAACTCCAACGGTCTTCAATTGACCTCTTGATCGTACGACGCTCTCCACATTGGTCACACAATGAAGATCATACCCGTTTCGTAAATAAAGACTAAGCTATATGAAATAGGAAAAACACATGGTGCACCCCGCCATAACAAAGCATATTTGAAGTCCTTATGTCTGGTGCCCAGTTGAGACTTGGTTAGTCGTCCTTCTCGATAGCTTCTGTATCTCTTGATTCATCACTATCATGTGAACGCTTGCGGCGAGGGGGCTCTTTCAACCCCATTTCAATATCCTCTACCCCGATATACTCAAGAAATTCTCCAAGATCTGGTTGGTCCTTTGTTTTTCGCCACCAGAACCATACAATGGCACCCGTGATGATGACTGTCAGACCGAAATACATACACACCCATGGAGATATCAATCGAGGGCTATCATCTGGTATCCATTGGAAGAATGACATGGAGAAGAAAGTCTAATCGCGGTCTGTCAGAATCGCGATGCGCAGATCAAATATTCAGTGTCAACATACCGCGAAGAAAGTACCCGGAAGGAAGATCATTCCAACCCAGGATATCATTTTCATTTGGGTACTATCTTGATGCGAGGCCCGAGCAATGAATATGTTTGCCTTGGCATCTCGTCTTGTGTGATAGTTCCATTCCTGCTTTTTGTCAGTCATCAGGACTACCAATGCCCCTCTGGTATGACTTACAACTTGGATGGCCAGGGCCATTCCAGCTAGTAGACCTTCGCATTTCCTGATGTTGCCATCAACCTCTACATCCATTTCCTTGAGCCGGCACCTAATGTGCTCCGAGCTTATTGAGTCGGCTACCTTCTCATCTGGCCCCTGAAGATGGGATTGCAGATTGAGGTTTTTGAATGTCACAAACTGTTCTTCGAGAGAGGCGAGCACCTTCCGGAAGCTTTCCATTCCATTCCTCAAGCGACTCACGTCGTCCCATAGCTTTGCGCTGTCACAGTCCTTCTGTGTCATTTCCTGGTTTTCTTTCCTTAATTCTTTACGATTTTGACTCTTCTTCTGCTTATCCGCTTGAAGTCTATTCTCAAGGTCCATGATTCGTTCCTCCAGCTTTGGACTTTTGAGTTCCATAGCCTCCATGAAACGCGAGCGCTCATGTTCGACAAATACCATCGGCATCATGAGCGGATGGAATGCTGTCTCAGTGAACTTTATGAGACGACGAACAAGAACTTCAGCTTGTTCTGAAGGGTAGCCATATATGGCTGAAAATACCCAGGGTTTTCTTTCAAAGTACGTCGTTGAGAGAAGGATGTCTTCATTGAATTTCAGAGTGTCCGTGTCTGATCTACAATTATACACTTGGAAGATGTCAGCAGTGAACGAGTAGATGATATATCCATGGAGAGATTGTTCTCCATGAGCACTGTAAAACGTCCAGGCTTGGTTTGAATACAGTCATGAAGAATGGACCCTTGCGAAGGCATTATGAATCGTAACGACACGGTGGCGCTTACCAACTGCTTCTTCCTTTGACGCGTCGACAGTCCAATTGGTCCGCTTAGAGTTGAAAATAGCGGTAGAAGTTCTTTGCATACTCCATATCAGTGATCTGTGTTGATACAACTTCTTCGAGACAGCCATAAACGTCTCTTTCGAGTACGTGAGTGAGTTTGTTGTGTCATCATGTCGCTCGTGTATGATCAAGGTGAAGGTCGGCTGATCCTGTCTGGGAGAGTACTAGGGCGTTGTGAGTCGAGGTTGGGCAATAGATAAGTTGGGGGATAAATACTCGTTCTATCCACTGCCTGAACTCTGTTTCCGAGTCAAACCGTTTGACCTCATTCTCAACACTCTGCTGGGGTATTAGCCTTTCCCCTTCATGCAATGAATTTGCACTAACGCCATTCTTCTCAGTCAACGTCACCGCTCTGACGTGAAATGGTTCTCCTGGACAGAAGGTGAATTTCTTCACTATAATTCTTGATCAGCAAACCTTTCTGGAGATACTATAGCCAATTTGAGATCTCGTGTGGACCCGGTAAGCGAATGCTCCCAGTAAAGGCGCCCGTAAAGGCATATTTTCATTCTTTCTCGTCCACAAAACAATAATACAAAAGCACCGGGATTTCTTACGATCACTTTTCGAGTATTCTGGTGTTTGTTTGAGCCAATCCATGTTGATGTTCAACCTTAAAAGTATGGCAGACTGTCTGCTTGCTTTGACGGTGGAGATGCTTCACGTTGTTATTAGTATGCATATGGCCGTCGAGTCGACGAGAACTATGGGAGAAGCTCCGCCGACACATCTCAACTCTCGGGGCGAGTGGCAGAAAGCGGGGTTCTTGCCCACCCGCATCTTTGAGTCGTCCAACACATGCCCGCATGATGCAGAGGCTGTAACAGAGGCCAATAAGGATTGAGTGCAACCCTAGCATGAGTAGAGCTCGAATGTCGTGATAAGCACAGCCTGCTTCGCCCAACGCCACTGAGCTGACACCGGTTGTTGCACATCGGCAGATTCCTGAGAGCCATCGGGTCTGACACTCCAGTTTGATCATCGGTCTGCCCAGAATATCTCCGAGAGTTGTTGCAACACCACCTTCCTGTTCACCGAAAGTCTCCACCGATGAGACTGATTGTGCAAGACAAGCTCACAGCCTCGTCCATTATCTTTCACTTTGAATACCACCTTTTACTGTAAGTATGACATTTCTCAGCATACACTCACCAGATAGCCAGCTACAACGTACTTTTACAGCAAGTAATAACAGTTATAAAACAAAGGAGTCAACTCGGGTCAGGCGGGTGCTTGCGTATAAAGCCTCCTCAACATGCCCGATGCTGTCGACAGGATTCTGAGCCTCATCGGCCTCAAGTCTCGAAATAAGATGCCGCCCAAACCGGAGTGGAATAATATTGTCAAACATCGTTATGAAAAGGTTGATATACTTATCAAATACCTGGATAATGAGTTTGGCTCGAAAAATTACAGGGTTAATGTAAGTTATAAATATTTTATTGCGATATTAAACTAAATCTAAAGCAGGATAAGAATCGCCCCGGAATTCAAATTTGGCTCCCTAATGATAAGAAATTGACGGAGGTAGGTTTTAAAAATAGGTAATATTAATTATTTCTATCGCTAAAACAAAGTAGGACCAAATTATGGCCATTCACAAGAAATACGTTGAGGCGCATAGAAAGGCGAATGAGGATAGCGATTCGGGATAACTGGCGATATAATCAGATAACGTAAGTATCTTCTGTAAGACAACTGCCACTCTTGATTTCCATCTTGATGAATATTTGGACACTGGTACAGCCAGTACACCTGCCCAGGTATCCTATCCACCAAATATTGTCCCAATCAGGAATATTTCTTATCTAGCTACTTCACCAGTATTTTCTATCTGTATCTAATTCCCCATTCAAGACATATCAGTTACTGACTGAATTTTCGTCAGGCCCGCGACTTGAGTTCTTTTATCTTTGACCTGACACTGGACAATAGCAGCCGGTCGAACAACTCATCGTCTCTGGATTTTCTTGACTGGGTACCTGGCCAAAAAAAAAAAAAAAAAAAAAATGAATTTGCGAATTTGAGAAAGATAACTTGTGTCCCGGTACATGAAATAGAGTCATTCAATGCCACATCACTCCTCGAATACTTTCTCTTTCCATCATCTAGCCACTACTGAGGTAATTGCCCATCTCAATTCAAGGGACGGCTCGGTTGGAAGAGAGTCCTTGCCAATGACAACCAATTCTTTTTCACCAGGGCCCACCATTTGATCTTCAGCAGTTCTCGCCATTTTCTGTTCACCACCTTCCACCAAAGAATAGCGTTGATTTCCATCGTCTCTCCTTGCTAGGATGCTAAAGTACCAAGTGTGACGAACAGGGTGAGAGCAAAATATACACCCAGGTATGGAGATACTATGTCTCGACTGTCATCTGGCATCCATCGGAAGAATGACATTGAAAAGAACGTCTAGCCAAATGTTAGCACAACATTCATGAGAAATTGTTTTTAGCTTACTGCAAAGAAGGTCGCTGGAAGAAATATCATCCCAATAAAAGAAATCCACTTTATCCGGGCGCTATCCTCTTTCGTGGCTTTGGCAATGACGATATTGTCGGCTGCATCGCGTCGCGAGTAGTAATTCCATTCCTGTCTAATGTTGGTCTTAAATATTTTTTTTCTTTTATCAATGCCGTGCCTCACTACTTGACTGGCTCGCTCTAGCACCCGGGGCAGACCCTTAAGAGTTTTGATGTTAATATCTATTTCTGCGCTTATCTCTTGAAGTCCTCTTCGCATAAGTTCTGTGCCTTCCAGATCTCTCGCATCTCTTTGAACACTTGATCCACTGAAACTTGATTCCTTTCGAAGCGTATTTATCTGGCTTTGGATTGAAATTAGCACGTTTCCAAAGCTTTCCAAAGCAACCAATAAGCGACTCATATCGAGTAATAGTTTTGTGTTTGCTTCGTCCTTCTGTGAGGTAGCTTGTTAGGTGCTAGGCACCACCCTAGGTACCTACCATAGTGGGAGTGGCTGGGGGACTTAGAAGGCTAATTTGCCTTCTAGAAGTGCTAAAGCCCTTCTGTGGGAAATTTGCCTTCTGAGATCCCCTATTACCTGGAAATGCTCCGTAGAGGCTATATAAATTAGAATAACCAGCTCTTCGTTCGTAATCGTAAATCTGTAAATCCGTAAATCCGTTATAACTTAGCTGTAAATCCGTAAGCTCGTGTATATAAGACGAGAGTTCAATTCTTGTTATTGTCTAAAGAAAAAGAAATTCCGGATTTCTTTTTAGCGTTTGGTTAAAATCAGTAGCTGGCTTCAGTGGACGTTATAGTGGTTATTTTAGTAGGCTTACAGGGGGCAAAAAAGGCAATTTCAAAATCAAAAGGCAAATTCTCTACAAAAGGCTTCGGCTCTTAGGAAGGATCAATATATGCAGTAGCCTTCTAAGTCCCTAGGCATTCCCGCAGCGGTACCTAGCTAGCAACGGAAACCCGACCCAACAGTTGGTGCAGCGTCATTCAGATATTCAGCTGTTGCTACTGGAAGCATGTCCACGAAATCATCGGGTTTAGAACTATAAGTAGAGCAGAGCCTTGTCGTCAATAAACCGACATGTGCTGGGTGCGGGTGCAAAACGCTGCCCGACCCCTCCCACCACCTTGACAGAAACCAATGAGCAGCCAGCCAAATGTCACGTCCACAGACTGGGCGGGCACTAGTTTATATATTGCATTTGTATTCTTTACGCGAAACCAATCAACGTGAATAGAGCTCACCTCCATGTCATCGTGTAGCAGTAGAATCCCAAACGTGTCTTGACAGCTGCTGCGGAGAGCCCCTCCTTCCTTCGCCCCACCACAAAAAGCAACACAGAACGCTAATCGACAGTGAATAACGACTCATCAATAAGGTAAAGTTATCAGCCTCTGCCACTCATCATTGCCTTCCAGGCATTGATACCTGTAGCACTTCGCAACATCAACGCGCAGGATCACTATTTCAAAGAATTCTCCAGACCATGGCCAACAACGTTTTTTATTTCTTTTATGCGCCGACATGGGACTGGCCCCCAGAAGGTCCCATAAAGCTAGGAAATGTGATCAGGGCAGTCGGGGAGCCGGAGCAACCGCTGTTCACAGCACCACTGCCTGCTGCATCCGAGGTATTCACGTCAGAAAAGTTCAACGTAGAGTACACAAAGGAGAAGCTTAGAGAGGGGAGATTTTCCATCTTGACCAAATTCTTAAGCATTCTCGGTGTCGGCATCAACGTCGGTGCTGACTGGCAAGACAGGTTAGAGAACGCCCCAGCCTATACTTCTACTCCTTTCTCTTCTTTGTGGTTGATCCCTCAATGGTACAATGCTAAAATAAATTTCTAGCAATGCAGAGCTGTATGGTTTCAAAAGCGTTGAGACCACGCAATTCATTCCGAAAGAAGATTACATACAGAAATGTATCGAAGCCGACGCGGTACGGCTTTATTTGGATCGCTCTCGGTACCGGAAGCCTGTCTACATAATCACCGGTATCAAAACCGTGTATGGAGCAAGAGCAAAGTCCTACAAGCACAAGCAGCATGGTGGCGAAGTCGGGATTGCGGTCGACGGTACTATCTGGAGCGGGGGCACCGCGCCCCTCAGTGTTGAGCCTGGGGTTGGGGGGAAGAGGGTTACGACGACGGAAACGACTTGGGAAGGGAGTAGTGATTTCGTTTTCGCATTCCGAGTCCACAAGATTCATGTGAACAGGAAGACACAAGCGGTGGACGAAAGTCATGACTACACCAAGGGCGCCCTCCTCGACAGCAAGACCGACAAAATTCGAGATGCCCTCCCAGATATTTTTATATTATCTCAAGAGGATCCCAAGCCCAGCGATGAAAATCATGATGAAGGAGAATTCACGGAAGGAGATCGCGTTGTCCTATGCGCGATTCCCAGAGTCACAGCCACGGATGAGGAGGAGATGTGATTCTAGATTCGAATTATGATACTGGTGCTCAGACCTCCTTTCAGCCAACAATGCAGTTTTGAAAATTGTATGTGAAACAAATGCATTATTAAACCCACTTCAAGATCGTATTTGGACTGTCATCGTTTTAGAATTTCAGTCAATGTCGCATCAATGAAACGCTTGCCCTTTGCAAAGAGGTTGTCTGAGTACAGGCTCAAGGAAATGTAATGATAATCGTCACGGGCCATGGTCGTCGGAGTCTTCTTAGTAATTTCTAGAAGCACTTCCTCCATCTTGTCCTTGCGTTTCAGCACATCGGCCATATCCGCCAGGTGAAACCGTGCATACTGCAGCAGGAATGCTGCAATGCCGGATACAATGGGCGTTGCATAGGATGTACCTGACTTGAGCTGGAGAAATTGCGGGTTGGCCAATCGATCGCAGAGATTGACTGGCCATGCTGATTCTACTGCTTCTCCTATGGTTGCAAAGTTGGTGTTATACTTGTGCGCTGTGGGGCTGAATTTGGACCGATTGCCGTGCGAGTCTGTCGAGTGAACGCAGATGACCTGTGGTTCACGAGCAGGATACGCACGGCCTAAATTTGCACCGCTATTGGAGGCTGCTGCAAACATCAAGACATGTTTGCAGTGTGCGTCTTCGAGAGCCTTTTTGAGTTCTTCATAACCGTCAATCTGGTTCGTGGGGTACCCAAAAGACATGGATATGATGTCGACCTTCCAATCGTTTACGGCCATTTCGATCGCCTGTGGGCCTGCGTCAGCCAATGTGTTTAGAATACTGAGTTGGTTCCAGGAATTGTCTATATAGAGAATATACCTTTGCAATGATTCGAGGGGAAGACAGCTCTTTCTCGGCTATTTTGGCTATGTATAATTCGGCATCAGGGGCATAGTCGATCAGCAAACTGGCTACGAAAGTGCCATGTCCATCGCGATCATGGGCGACTTTTTTGTTTTTGGCAGCTGTTGTCCAGTTGTACTTGTCTTTGATTTGGCCTGTTTTGAGAAGGTCATGTCCATCATCGACGCCAGAGTCTAGAATCGCAACCCTCACCACAGATTGAGGGGACCTCTCTATGTATTTCTCGTAGACTTTTTTATATTTGGCTTTCCAAGTCAGGTAGTCCAGGAGCCTAAATGATTCCATATCAGCAAGACAGGCCGTGTGATGAACAACAGAGCAGCTCAGAATTGCCAGGAGTCTTAGCTAGAGGCAAACAATCAATAGATCACAGTGAAATAATAGAAGCTTACGTACTCTGCACGGGAGTGGGCTTCTGAAGGCCTTTCATCGTCATAAAATCTGGCAGAATCATATTCGGATTCCTGAGCGGGATTCTGTTTCAGATCAAAGAAGGGCGGAAGGTATTCTTGGGATCGATGATTCCAGGCAGCAAATGGAGCATCATGAAATCTTACTTCAGATCCTATCAAATGACCTTGTCGCTGAGGCCACACTTCGTCGATCGCGGGGCTTGCGGTCTTTGGAGGCATCTCCTCAGCAATCCGGCTCTGTATGGGCTGGCCCCAATTACCAATGTCCACCTCCTTAGCCATCTGATCAAGCTCCTCAATGGTGATGGTTTTGAAAGCGTCGCATAGTTCATCCTCTAGTGGCGTGACAACCTCTCGGTATATTGCGGTTCTCAGCGTCTGGTCATCCATGGGCTCACCACACTCGTCTCGCCACACCCTCGGCTGGAGGCATTTTTCTATTGCATTGCAAAACTTCGAATTCTCGGCAATATTTTCGATCTTTGATTCCGTGAACACAGTCACCACGTCCGAAAGCCTGGTGCGACTATCAGGGAGTTCTGGCAGCGGCATGTCACAGTTTTTCGCCAATTCTCCAAATGGAGTTTTCGTGTATATCTCCATCAATATGATGGCGAGAGTGACAAGGGCAGGAAATGGATGTTCGATATCGTCCGGATCTAGGTCACCATAGTCAAGGTTGTCAGGATCGGAGTCATCCGGAGAGACCTCATTTGATGGGTCAGGGTGTTGCGTTAGGTTATCACCATCTTTCTGATTCTTCGGGTGACTCCAATCGGGATCTATCCCTTCGGTTCCCAGCTGCGTTCGAATGTAAGGCCGTAAGGGAATGCTGGTCCGGGTACGGAAGAACAAGATATGTGACGAGTTCCATGTGGGTTGAAGCCAGGGAGTACCATGCAGGTGCAGGACCGCATAGCTCAGAAGCACTGCTAGAATTACTCTCGTCCTCGTCGGCTGTGATGTGAATCTGTCGTCAATGAATTGCTGGAGCGACACAGTAGGTTCCGCGCTATTGGTCCACAGCTTGCCCTTGGCGGATAGCAGCTTGAAGAGACAATCGTCCTCAAACCGAAGCTCTAGTCGGCGTGACGTCAAACTTTTGCCCTTGATGTGTTCGCATAGTTCCTTCTTGACGAGCAGAGGCTTGTAGTCCAGTAGCTGCTTCTGCGGCGGTGGCGGTTTATCGTTCAGAGAGAATCGGACCACGCTCTCTCGAGTGGTATACACACGAGCTTCCTGCCAATTTCCTTCACGTGAGAAACACATGTCGAAATCACTGCTGTTTTCAGACTCGGGATTGCGATAGGTCCCAAGACAGAGCGTCGCACCAAGCTCATGCTTCTGATGGCATCCACAATTAGCTGATTTGGTGAGGGCTGTGTACAAAGAATTTGCTGTACTCCATACAACGTACGGCGGCTCATCGCGGACCTTTTTTGGTGGCAAATCTTCGATCAACCACTGTGAACGGTCTTCGGGGTACGCTGCGAAGACGTGGTCTTCCCATGCACGGAACGATTCATCGAGGGCCTGGCCCGGGCGGAGCCCAGGAGACTTCACCACATTGAAACATTGATCAATAAACCGAACCTTGGCGTCATTTTCTTGGTTTCGCAGGACATCCCAGCGCTGATTCAGTGCACGCTGTTTACTGTAGTTGAGCATGAGCGCTGAATCTTGCGGGACCCCTTGGGTGGAGACGAGAGATTCAAAAAGGTTCAGAGCCTGGGCCACAAGATCGTTCGCAGGACTTAATATAAACTTAAGGCGCTTCATCTGATCCTTGACTAGGACGCAATGAACATTTAAGTTGCCGTAAAAGTGCATCAGGTCAATGTTTGTCTGTAGGGGTCTCAGGAGTCTAGCGATCTCGGAAATCGACCTGGCTGTCCGTATCACCAGGTCCACGTTCTGATTGTTCCTCCAGGGACCAGCCCCAAGCGATGGTGCCATACTGACGCCGATAAAGACGAAACTCGCAGAAGTGCGCAACTGAAATCACCTGTGAGGTGGAGGATCGCGAGATGCAATGTGGATGCTCAGTCGATCGAACATTTGAGCCTCGTCTTGGGTGCAGGTGCTTGCGGTACTTGTTGAATCTAAGGCAGATCACCAATGGGCGGCGCGCTTACCAGATACTTAAATGGGCGGTACAGTGGGACACGAAGTATGGACAAATCAATATGAGGATGGGGTTGGAAAGCAACTTTACCCCGCTTTCTGACATCCGGCTGCCGACATCTACTCGGTGCACTCTTTCTTGGAGACTGTATTCAGCATTGTCTCTAAGACGAACAATTCAATGCAGAGATAAGATGCGCATCTGGCGCTGCATTCTACAACCGTCATCATCAAGGGGATGACACAATAGTACGCGTATTGATCTAACCTAGGCAGATTGAATGATCGCTGGGCTGGGTCGTACGTATATGGCTAAGTCGAGTGGATATTAGTATTTATCTGTTGGTAGCAGATATGCTTTGCATTGTGGTTCGTTAGTTAGTCGTGAAGATATATAATACAACACCTGATCTAACACCTAATTTCCAATGGTAAAATCGTTCAATTACCAGTGGATGGTTATGTTATCTCCGCTACGGTGCTAATTTTATAATCACCAGCCATTGACTGTATCTTCGTCGATGTCAGCTGAGATATGGACACGCCGACTTTTGTCTTTTTCTAGATGCGGGGTTGTGCACCAAACCATGGTTTAGGCGTGCCCGTGCTCATCTGATCCTGACGGCAGCACGAGCCGCAAACTAACCTCAAGACTGTTGACCCGATTCCATGCTCTACCATTATCCTGCAACAGCGGCTGGCCTGTCCATTCTCAATATCTGCTGAAGTAGTCAACTTGAGTAGCCGACCTCCCTCATATGTTACAACCTACAGTCTCTTTGCCTTGCGATCAACAGGGAATCAGCCACTTATGCTAAGATGGCAATGTCACAGGAAGCAACGGCAACAACAACAACAACGCTCATAGCGCGCGGAAGTGAGCTGGCGCTCTCTAGCTTTCAAGAATGCCTTTTTAGGGCGGCAAGGCTCCATCCGCGGGAGTATACACTTTTTGAAGATCAACTTGCCAGGTTTTCTATCTGGGCATCCGACATTGGTGTCTTTGCTTCGGGGAGAGCCTCCATAGATCACCGCCTTCGCGAGGTCCCCGACGTTGCTGACGCCGTCACGAGCCTCCTAGAAAATGTGACCTACGGCATGAAGGAGTGTAGGTGCATGTCCCTCTTTTTCTTCTCCGATGTCCCTGGATCTGGTTTGCACTTTCGGTGACATGCTGGTCATGTGAGACTGTCTATAATAGTTGTTTCCATCTCGACACGGTGGTTGGAAATTACCCCGAAGTCCCATCTTTAGTCAGAAATTCTAATTCCTTGCAGGTTCACTTGTTCTTGAGAGTATAACAGGTTCACAAAGCCAGACAAGTGAAGATGCTTTGACCGATCCGGATCCAAGGCTGGTCTCGTCTGTCCAAGCCGTGGCTGACGAGATAAGCATGCTTTACCGGCTTTCGAACACTATTCGAAGAGCCAGCAGAGAATCTCACAATCTCAAGGTAGCAAAAATTTCTGACGCACCAGACAACGATGGAAATGACTCAGAGTCAAAGCTTCGTGAGGTTTATTGCAGCTACATCCGCGGACAATTTCCCAGCATCCAGGACAGTCTCTGTGAACGCCTTGCGTCTTCCATGATTATCCGACGCAGAAGAATCCTTTACAGGAGATTTCACTACGGCTCTGGAATCCGGACCCATGAAATTATATCGCAGCCGCTGATACAATTGCCTCAGAATCAGCGTCAAGCTCTCGCTGGACCTGGAGCCGCAAAAGCCTCCCAACCAGTCATGGGCCAGACACCAGCCAAGAGCGACTTACAGTCTCAGGCAGTTAGTGCCACCACCTTGTCTGTTAATGCCTACAAGAACGCCCCAGCGCCACCCGTAATGTCAACCACAAAGTCGATTCCCCTTGGTAGCCATGAGGACCTCGTTTTCCCACCACCCCCAAACGAGAGGATCAAAAGCCGATACAAAGCGCTTGAAAGGCAGCGACGCCAACTTCATAAGGAATTTATAAACTCCCTTTCTGGCTTAGTATCGGTTTCAGAGCGACAAGAGCAGATATATCAAGCTGAAACCGAACTCCAGGTTAACCTTGAATTGGATTGGCGTGAATGCTGCAAGGCCGTCCCCGAGCTGACCTGCCCTTTTTGCCTCTATGTCCTTCCCAGCCTTTCCGTTGGCGACGACAAGAAATGGAAGCATGTGACTGTCAGCCTGAGAACTACACGGTGGACGGATGCTAACCACTGGTATAGGGCCCATGTCACCAGTGACCTCGATGCGTACGTATGCTTGTTTGACAAGTGCGATAGACCTGAACAACTGTATCACCACAGTAGCGATTGGTTGAAGCACATGCGCAGCCATACCCTACGTTGGCGCTGCAAGGCGAAGTCGCACAAACCACAGATCTATCCTACAGAGAACGAATACATAGAACATATGAGAGAGTTCCACCCTGGTTCTTTCACAGAGCCGCAACTTCGCGCACTCGCCGACGCGAATGCCCGGTCGATCGGTCCTATGTTCCAAGCGTGCCCAATGTGTGGTACAGAAGCAGAAGGAAACTCCTTGGAAGACCACATCGTAGGCCACCTGAGGTTGCTTGCACTGAGATCCCTGCCACCGCATGTAAGCCAGGTCCTTGACAGCCCTGATGAACAGGAAGACTCGACAGACGATCGTGTGATTCAAGAAATGCTGGAATACAAGCGGAAAGTCGGAGAAGTCTCTCTTCGCACAACGGGAATTGCTCCAGTGACATCATCATCATCATCATCATCATCATCATACAATCAGAACGCTGCCCGAGTTGTAACAGATGACAACATCAAAAATAATGCCGTAGATGGTGTGCAAGAAGCCACGGCTGAACAGACGCATCAGACACCGCAGCCACAGGAGAGTACCCTGAAACTCAAGAATCCAGAAACACTCCCCAGCTCGAACGAATTACCCACTGTTATGGATAGGAATATGAGCAATTCTGGCCTCAAGTCTCGAAACACGATGCCGCTCAAAGCCCGATTCGAGTGGAATAATATTGTCAAACATCGTTATGAGAAGGTTGATATACTCATCAAGTACCTGGACGACGAGTTTGGCTCCAAGAATTACAGGGTCAATGTAAGTTATAAATGTTTCACGGAGATACCATTAAACTAAATTTGGAGCAGGATAAGAATCGCCCCGGAATTCAAATTTGGCTCCCCAACAATAAGAAACTGACAGAGGTAGGTTTAAGAAGCATTGTTGATTATTTCCTTAGCTAAAACAGAGTAGAAACAAATTGCGACCATTCACAGGAAATATGTTGAGGCGCATAGAAAGGAGAATGCGGACGACAGCGATTAGAATTTAGTACGATACATGGAAGTAACTTATACTTGATTCAGTCTCTATGTGATCATTCCAATTCTCTTTCCCTTCAGTCTTGATGCAAATTATCGAGAAACTTTTGTACATCCTCTGAGCTTGCTCGCTTTTTTGTGTCAATTACAAGCATGTTTGACTCTATGAAATCCAAAAATTGATTCAACTTTTCACTTTCACTCTTTCCCTTCAGGAAATCGATATGCTGCAAACGAGTCAGTATATCTGATCATTGGCGATGCCTGCTACTTGATGTAGCGAGAGGTAAAGGCAGGGGTACTGACCTGTATGACTTGTGTCTTGACAACAGCTGTTATGCGGGTGTTGCGAGTATACTTTAGCGACCACCGATGCCACCTCCGAAGTACACTTCTCGGTGACCGCTCACCATCCTCGGCATCTTCTTTATCCTCACCATCGGCGGTCTTGCTCGTATGAATAATTCTGATTTGAGGCTCGAGCCTGTGTTTTAGGCGCGTTGACACCTTTTTGAAAAACGTATCGGCAAAGACATTCCCTCCCGCAGTGGTGGCCTTGCGTTCGTCACGTTCTGCAAGGCGACCTAGCTCAAATTTGTCTGCAGCTTCAGACCCGGCAATTGCCCAAGTAAGTAACTCTATAAAGACACAAGCGAGGCACCATACGTCGTAGTTGAGATGCAAAATATCATCTGTGTCATGTTCTGGTGGGCGATAGGTCTTTGTGTGAGGTACACGCTTTACTGGGACTGTGTTGGTCTCCGGGTCTACCTCCTGCGCTTCACCGAAATCTGCAAGCTTCAGATCAAATGGACCGTGATCTGCTTCGCCGAGGGCGAAGCACAGAATGTTCTCAGGCTTGATATCGGCATGTATCTGAGCTGATGTGGGTGGGTTGTCGCTTGTTCGGTGCACCGCAGCCAGCCCATCAGCTAGCCCCAAGCACTGGGCCAATAGCCATCGCTCGGAGTACCAATCAGCGACTTGCTGCTCCTCAGTCTTAGTCTCTGTCGATGTGGCATAGTTCTGGAATAAATCCGCGAGGTTGCCTCCACGTGCCCATGGTAGTATCAAATGGAATTTTTCCCGATGTTTGAATGCGGCTAAGAGCGGTACAATACGGTCGTGTCGAGGTGCTCTACAATTGGCTCTCACCTCTCGTTTGTAGGCTTTCTTGGCTCTATTAGCATCAAAGCCGTCTTCATAGATGACTTTCAGAGCGAGCTCTCCGTCCAGAATGCCCTAATACAATTTCTTAGACAAATTTTGATAGTCATAATCAAGCTGGGTCGACTTACTGGTTTCCGATGACTCGGGTGTATGACCATCTTTTGGACAGTGGTGGCCTCATCATAAGTGTCTTTCGCATCCTCTAGCAAAATCCACGGCAATGAAGCATTGGCCGGTAGTTCCAGTATCTTCTGCTTTCCTGCAGCAAGATCTTGCGATGCTAGATCTTCCACAAAGGGACTTCTCATCTGCCACGTGAAATGTATAAAGCGTTTGAGTTCCTCGGGTGACAATTTCCGATTCAAAGCTTCTGCCAGATGGTTTGGGGTATTCGGGGCATCTGCCCCTGGAGACAGAGAGGCTAAGTCGGCATCGCAGAAAGCCTCAGTTGAATCTTGGAACAACGTGTTGACAAGACCTGGTCTAGACAGTGATAGCAATGCTGCAAATATGATTCGACCACCTGTACAGTGAGGTCGTCCGCATCCACATCCATCGATTGGAGGGATTATTTTCCTGGCTACTTCTTCGATGTCAAGAGAATAATTGTCCACGAGTTCCGGTGAGATGACGTCCAAGAGTGCATCTTATTAGGCAACAAGGAGCCCAAGATACCTATCTAGGTAGTACTTTACCTCATAATACACTGTTTTACGCAGGTCTTATGCTATTTTACGCGGGTATATATGGGTTTATGCTGTTTTAATGCTATTTAACCTTTTAATCCATTAATCCAAAAGATATATAAAATAATGGTAGCTGCCTTAATAGGCTAAGCCTTAATTTAGAAGTCTAACCCCGATTTAAAGCGTTAAAATGTGCGATAAATTAGCTGCCGTACGCTAAACTTATATTATAGGGCGCTTATAAAAAGCATTTTTGGATTTATCGCTGCTTTATAAGATTAATTTAGAATAATCCCGGTATTTATCCCGGAGCTTATTATAATTTAAATTAATTAGCATATTTAGCATAATATAAATTATTAAATAAATATATTAACTATTAAATAAACGTTAGTAATATAATAAATCAGCGAATAAATATATAGGTAAGTTTAATATTAATAATAATAATAAACGAATATATTAAATTAAGAGTTAATTAAGCATCGTTTCTAATTAATAATTATAATAGTTAATAAAGGGACGTAACTAATAAGATTAGTGATTCTGCCGCGGGGACTTAAGCCTCCTCTTTTTTGCCGTTTTTGCTATTTTTATCGGAGGTCTTTTAATTATTATTAGCGGAAAAGGCCTCGGGCTCGAATTATATATAGGTTATGCTATTATAACCGTAATTAATAACCTTTTTATCGTTATAATCGTAAATCGTATAACGGAAGCGACTAGATCTTTCGATTATTTTTACCTTAAGCTTTTAGCTATAACCAAATCGGTTATAAATATTAATAATACGTTTAAAAGAGCGTATAGCATCGCGGTTGGCTATAATATAACCGTAAGTAGTGTCGGAGTTATCTTTTTTTATTTCGTATCCTCTATTAAAGCGATAGGCGACGTTATAAACGATGCCCTCCTCGAAAACGTTGTCGTCAAAAACGACGAATAAGATGTCTTTTTTGGTTAATCGCCGAAATATATTATAAAAAAAAGGGACGGAAAAAAGGGCAAAAGGGAAAAATAGATAGCCAGGCAAAAATAAAAAAATATAAAAAAAAAATAATTTATATTTAATTTTAATTTCGCTAAAATAGTATTTACTAGCACCTTACGCTTCGGTAATTAAGGCAGATATATTTAGTAATAGGTTAAAATTTAGGGGTAGTAAAATTATAAATAAAAAATAAAAATTAATTTACAGCTGCGAGCTTAAGATAAAAAGTGCCAAAATATTTTAATTTAATTATTTATTTATAAAAAATAGTAATAAGCAGAAATAAAAACTTTAGCTCAAAGGCGGATACAATAATCTATATAAACCACTTCCTAAAAAAATAGCAGCTATACCGGAAAACTGCTAATAAAACGTATACGTAAAAAAATTGCTAATAATAGCTATTTAACAAATATATAAATAAATATTATAATATAATTTTTTATTATTTTTTAGCAGATATTTATAATATAAAACATTATATTTTATAAAAATAAAAAAAATTGCTAATAAGGCTAAAAATACGACCTTTTCCTTATATTTTTTTTTAAACAAATAGTTATTATAAGCCATTAACGCAAAAATCCGGTATTATTATAAATTTCCGCTTAGGGATAATAAAATTAGTTTTATTATTTTATTATAAATATTATAATTTATAAAGTAAAATAAAGTTTTATTTTATTTAAATATACCGCTTCCGGTTTTTTATTTTATTAAATAGGTTTTTTTAAGCGTATATAAATACTTTATTTAGTTTAATTATTTATAAAAATTATAATCGCCGTTCGTATTTTAGAAATATTAAAAATATTCGGTAAAATAAAAAATTATAAATAAATAAAAAAGATATAAATTAAAAGTTTTATTATCGATCGTTCGATAAAATATAATATTTTTTCGAATAAAAATAAACTTTCTCGAATAAAAATAATAAAATTATTTTTAGCAAAATTAATTATAATTATTAAATTATAAAATAATATATATTATTTATATAAAAAAGTTAGGGATTAAATAATGCTAATATTTCGCTTTCGAATTTATAATATAATAGTATTATAGCGTTATATAAGCCGGTATTAAAGATTTAAGTAAATAAAAAGCTTTAAAAAAATGCTATTACTTTTAATAAATTATAAAAAGCTCCCGAAATTGCCTAAAATGCTTTTATTAAACCTTAGAAAGCTTTTAAGTAAGATATGCGAAAATAAAGCTGCTTATTTGGGTAAAAAAGGATTTAAGCGTAAGTATTCGATTGTAAACGGTTAGTTAGATTAATAATTTTTAAAATATCGCTAAGCATTTTCGTAGGTTTTATCGTATCGTAATTAAAATCCGTTATAATTTAATAATTATAATTTATTAAATATTTAGAATCTGACTATCGTAATAGCCGTAATTCGATTATGCCCTTTATAGGTAAATATATAATAAATTATAAAGAAAACTATTATAAAAATCCTAAATATATAACTATAACCTTTTTATAATATTAAAAATATTTAAGCGCCTGGGCTAATTTAATCGGAAGCATTAAATCGGAATATATCTACCTTTTACGTAATTCGATAATTGCCTTTAAATAAATAAAATAATAAAAATAAAATAAATAAAACGCAGCAATTCCAATGCAATAAGCGTTATACCGACGGAAAACTATACGATGCGATATTTAAAACAAAATAAAACCTAAAAAAATATATATAAAGCTAATATAATATTAGTATAAAAAAAACGTTTATTAATATATTCGCTATAAAGCTAAACGCCTTATTATAAATATTCGCGGTATAATTATAAATATAACGTTTAAGCGAAAATATATTTATTATATAGCTATTTTTACCGGATATCGAATTTTTATTTTTTTTCGCTAATAAAAATATTACGCTACCGTATTTTCCTAAAATAAACCTTAAAAGCGACGCGGCGCTTATATTACGGTTATCCCTTTTAATCGGCATAAAACGGGGAAATAATAACTCTTAGGCCTAACAGCGCTAATCGCTCCAAGCGCGCTTTTAAAAACGCGCGCCGGATTACGATTTAAAGCTATTTAAAAAGATTTTAAATTAGCTAAAAGCCCTCGAATAATTAGCAAAAACCGGTAAGGACTATTTCGAGTTTTAAATCGCGGATTTAACTATAGCTTAAGGTATTTCGCCGATTGCGGATTAATCGAGCCTTTATATTATTTACCCTTAAAATTAAGCGTAATTATTATTAAAATATATTGCCGAAAATTTTAATAAGCGTAACGGCCCGCGAATATTATTAAATAGGCTAATTTATTTTTTTTTATTTTAATATTATTATAATTATATTTATTAATATGCCTTTAAATTTATAATTACTTAAATTATATAATTACGGCGGCTAAAATTATCGTATAATTTAAAAGCTGGCTTTATCGCGGCATAAATTTAGATATATTTATAGAGTGCGGGCTTTATTAGCGAATAAATAATTCGCATTAATGCTATAATCCGTTTTATATTTTTTTATTTTATATTATATACGAACCGACCGGGGTAAATAAGGCTCGGATTAATTACTATTAATACGCGCGCTTTTTAAAAAGTTATAATCGCAAGGTTCCGATTATATATAATAGGCATAACCCGCCGTATTTAATATAGCACGCCGCATTAACGATATATAAAAAATATTTTTTTTAGCTTTAGGCGTTCCGACGAGCTTAAGGTTTTTTATTACTAATGCCGACCCGGCCGCGGTATTATATTTTTTCTAATTTCGAATATTAGCTTTTTTTAATATTCGTCGACGATTAAAAGCAAAATATCCGGTTTAATAAAAAATAAATCGAGGTCGGTCGGATAAGTAAAGCGCGTAAGCTAGGCTTTATATATAGCTTATACTTTTATATTAAAAGGTTTACGATTATAATTATTTTTTAAAGCTATATTATTTATTAGCATAAGGACCGGAGCGACGATAATAAATTTAATAAAATATAACGGGGTATAGATTTATAGATATAATATTAAAAAAAAAATTTAAAAGCTTAATTTAGCATAATATATTATTAAGGCTGGCCGAATTAAAATAAGCAACGTTTTTATGGGTAAATGTGGAAAAATGGAATTTGCGGTAGCACGCATTATACGATACCGTCCTATAAAGATCTAATTAACCTAATAAATAATATATAATAATATTAGCGTATATACTAGGTTATCGCGCTTTTATTATATGCTATTTTATAAATAATAAAGCATTAAATCCGATTTATTTTTAGCTTTTATTAATAGAAAATTAAACTTTTAAATAATATAATCGATTAATTAAATTCGGCTAATCGAAATATATATAAATATAAAAACTTTATTTATAAAAAGGCAAAAGTTACGAAATTATTAAATTATTAAAATTATTTAAATTATTAAAACTATAAAAATTATATTAATAAGCTTCCTAAAATTATATAAAAAGCGCTAAATAATAATAATATAGCATAATAAATATTTTTATAAAAAGCGC